CATCAATATACACGTAAGCTAGAGGTGGAAAACACCTCAGCTACTGTGCTGCAATACATAAAAAGGGGAAAATGCAACAGGTGCAAGCCAGCTGAGCTACCGGTAACGGATGGGCATCTTTCCGGTAAGCTACCTACCGGCTACTTTGCAGCAGAAAAAATAATTCAATATGGAAAAATTACAAAAGGCTAAATAGTGAGATCGTGATTCGAAGGGGAGGGAAACAGGTATGAGGTGGGACAAAGAAACTCACAGCACGAACGCCACTGAGGTCGGCTCCTTGCCATATCAACAAGTGTATCTAGCCAAATGTGTTCATCGTCTTCCGGACCCCAACCAGGGAGCCCAGACGCTCCAACCGAGGCCAGCTCAGAAGTGAGGGCCTTTATTCCTCTCGACCAAGTCATCGCTTGGCCACCCCTCCTCTTCTTCCATCCACACCCCCGGCGCGCAAACAACGCACGTCGCGGGAGCCGGTGGGCTGACATGCGTAACCCGTGGCCCAGCCATCGGAGCCTGATGCGTGAAATAACGGTGCTGAGTGGTTACTTTCCTTTTCCTGTGCCGTAAACAAGGCGTCGAACACACTCGTTGCTCACGGAGTGTTCCCACCAGATATGGGCCAAACTGCGAAGGCACCGGTGGTCGAACGTAACTAGCCTCTTTATGTCCGCTGATCTAAGGGGCCAGTTTTCACAACCGTAAAGCAGGGTTGAACGTACGGAAATATGATACACGGCAATATATATACTCTACCCTTCAGGGCGAGAGTGATGTCGCACCGGCGCCATAGATTGTGAAGGTTAGCAAAAGCGCCTCGGGCTTTCGCTATACGGTTCGTTATCTCAACTTCAATCCTACGGGCGCTGAAACAACTTCCCAAGTAGTTGAATTTGAACGGCCTCTAGCTGATCACCACCAAGGGTCAGCGCACGAGGCGGTCCAGGCCAATCTTGGAGGAACCCTTTGCACTTCGAGGGTGCAAAGTAAAGCACGAAGTGACGGACAGCCAGTGCTAATTTGTACAGTGACGCTCAGCACGTTTGTGAGCTGTCACAGATGAGGGCAATATCGTCCGCATACGCCAAGTCAAGAACTCGTTCTCCTGGGAGCAGATCCACACCTTCTAAGCCGTGCCCTGTGAACGCGATTTCCATGACTTCGTTAATAGCGAACTTGAAGAGGAAAGGTGACAGCGGGCATCCTTGTCTCACACCGTTGGATATATCGAAGGGCGACGATAGCTGGCCTTAAGCCCGTCACTCTGCCCGAGCTACGCGTATATAATGCTCGGATAATATTTACATATTTCTCAGATATACCTTTCCTGACTAGACAGTCCCAAAGGGTACGTCTATCCACCGAAGCGAATGCACCTTTGATATGGAGGAACACGACAACGGTGGTCGCCAATAAATGTGACGGTGCTCCGACAACTGAAATAAAGTGAAGATGTGATCAATGCAGCCACGACCTCGAGGAAACCCAGCTTGCACTTCACGAAGCTGGCTTTCACGAGTGCCAGTCAGTCTGTGAAGTATGATAGAGGTCAGCAATTTGGAGGCGATGGAGATTAGACTGATTCCTCTATGATTACCGCATTGCGATCGTGAGCCCTCTTGAAAATTGGGAATAGGACGGAACGGCTCCAGGTGTTTGGGACAGTTTCCTGCTACCACAGTTTCACTAGTAACTCGTATAAATCATCCACAACAGCAGGTCCCCCGAATTTGAAGAGGGCTAGAGGAAGATCGCGTGTAGGGTCTATAGATACTGAAGACGGAGTTAAGGGCCTCTTGCGCGTTGGTTTGATGATTGCAGTCGATCAAATAAGATAACACTGAGCTCATCACTGACTTCCTAAAGCCAACATAGAGCTACTCTGGGCAATTTTCGTGGTCACTTTCGGACAATTGTCTCCCCAATATAATCTACTCAACTCAAGCAAGAGAATTCGTACACAGAAGGAAAACTTTGATCTCGGTATTCTATCTTAGAGCTGCTGGTTTACGATTGGAACTGTGGTGAAAAAGACAAGATCATCTGCATGGTATGTTTTTGCCGTGGCACTGGAGTGCCTTCGAGTGATTCGGTATGCTATTGCGTCGCCCTTAAAAGGCAACGATAGGCAGATCAGCCGCTCTACTGCGGTGTTGAATTTAACCTTTGGGGCTCACAGCTCCATGTGCCTCCGGACAAAATTTTCTGTGTAACCGTTCTGTTCGAGCACCATCCGAATGGAACTTAATTGGCTGAAAGCTTGCCTCTGTGCATAGGCTCAGCTCTTTTGATTAGAGAACGAGTGAGGTTGCGTTTCTGACTCATTGAAACGAAATTAGCGAAGTGAATGTACTGACCGCTTCAAGTAGCTCTTATGTGCAATATTCTCTGCACTGACCCGTTCGATGTCCTGGTGATCTGGACAGCTAAGAATGCTATGGAGTTCTGGCGTTCCAGCTTGATGGTGAACGCTATGTTGTTGTGTGCAGCGCTGTACTTGGCTAGTAGCTCTTCAATACGAACTCGGCTATTAGTGACACAAAATATACAGTCTATATAACGGCCATAGGAAACAAGATTGTCGATCGATTCACACAGCTCGTTGTTCTTCAATTTACTCAGGACGATGTCTGAAGGTGACGGTGCTAGTAGTGAGCCCATAGGTACTCCGTCTCTGTCGGTATGCGATTCTGTTGAATTGAAACTGAATGTTCCTGGTGCAGATCAATAATAGATGTTTCAACCGGTCAGTTGGAATACCGATGTTAATGCGGTGTAATTGAATAAAGTCACAGACAGACTATGGTTTCTCGTAGTGGACCATTTTGAAACAGACATTACGTCTAGCGAGAACATCTTCAATCCAATCAGCTCGAGTTCTTGAATCGAAATGAGAAAATCAAAAGTGCCCTTGAGGCTGTACCTGGCGATGACTCGCTTGACTGGCACACAAAGGAAATTCGTCTCCAAACCCCACAGCTGCCGTGGCTACAGTCCGTCTCATTTAACACCAATGAGTGTGTTCTCTTTAACATTACCCTGATCGGTGCGATCGCATGACCAGATTGACTAGACATGTCGTCTCATTGATTTATCGTGTTTCAATATCCTGTGTTAGTTTTATTCCCAACTATTTGTTGTGATGTACAAGCCTGATGTGAGCCACCGAGAACATGCTTGTTCGCATAGCTGGCTTTTGTTTCTAATATCTCCCCTGGGATTATTTTCCCAGTTGAACCGAGAAAGCCGGGTTGAGTGAGCAGATAAAATGTGTCAACGCCACCAATAGTTTTTCCGCAAACCAGCTGAGATCAGTTTAAATCAATACTTTGGCAGAGCCAACTGATCATGCCCAGAGAAACGATTATCTGTCCAAATGAACACTCAAAAGATCCGTCAGTTTTCCGTGCTTGATTGCTAAACCGTTCGACTTGGTCGCATCAGGTCCACTCTGCGAAAGTAGGCGGGTGACAACCGTGTGAACTGAACCTGATCTGGTCGGAAATGTATAGGGAGATTACAAACTTGTTTGCGTAACGCTGTGGCGAATTCGCACGTAACTCGTTTTGTAACTTCCTCAGAAATAAGTAATGCACCAGAGGTATGCAAATGAGAGACGACTAATCTGTTTGTAATTCTATCAAAACGTAGACAAAGCATTGAGAAACCAGCAAACCATAGTCATCCAGGGTAGCCCTGTATGCCCGATTAGGGAAGGAATCGGCTCCAAAGGAGTGAACATCCTGAGACATGGCAACAACCAGCTGACGCAAAGAACCTCAACTAAAAGGGGGACACTGTCGATCCGTAGTAATGGTGAAGCACATAACAAAAGAAGTGATCTCTAATGAGTGAATTAAGTGCCTGACGCGGTAACAGAGTCTCATTCCAGGAGTGATTCAATTATTGTTAATGTTAAGTATACAAAAGCGTTAAGATATCTGCAGTCTATTCGATGAAGGAGGCGATCTTCCGGGAGAGTCCTAGATAAGCGAGACCATTACAACATTTGGTCCAAATAGACCTTCGCGATGAGTCCCAACGGGACAAAGGACAAATAAGACGCAGTTAGGCAATGAACCGGAGCAGCGAAAGCCGCCTCGTTCATGGTTCCACGGCCGAATGAAACAACCCATCCGTAGAGATGTGCTGCTTCCTAAACGTAAACAGAATTTCGTACAAACACCTCGTATTTGACGCATTCTATTGCAGTCGGCGGATTTCAACACAACCAGAACATCTGTCAAGCAGATGGACATACAGGTAAGGCATCAGAAGGAGATTGTACAACAAGACTGTGGCCTCAACGCAATGAGCAGCGATTTGAAATACCAAGGATACCCGATAGGTTGGGCTGGTCATTGTACGTTTGGATGTTCGCAACCAAGCACTAATGAAGTGTCTCTGAAGAAAACGAGTCCGCAGATCAACGCACAGTGCATATCCATGCTCCATTGAAGGATGTTAGGCGGCGGGTTCTGCAGTCGACTGTTGGAATTCGGGGGTGGATGAACTTTTTCCATCGGAAGACAAAGAGGGAAAACTGCTCACGAGTTGAGCAAAAGGTTTACGCAGATCAGACTACATCGGCCCGGGCTGCGTAGGATCGCTATAAAGCAAGCATATGCGAGGGCTCATATGTAATGTAACTAGGTGTAACGAACACACGTTGTCTTACGAGGTCCAAGTTGGGGTGAAAAGCAATAGAAGGAGGCTCGTAAAAAATGCTAGAGCGGGGGCGGGTAATGCACGTTATTTGTCAGCGGAACTCCGGCACCAATGCAATGCAACATCCCTTTTTAATAGCACAAAATCGCCAGTTGAATGTCGGACTCATAACTGCGAAAGACTTGAGTGAGTGGCAAGAGAATGATTTCAAAGATCGCTGGAAGAAAGTTTATAATGCAAATCAAACGGGAAGAATGATGCGGCGCGATTGTCAAAGACAATACCTACCACGTGCGTGAGACAGAAGAGAAAAGTACCGCACGGTAACCTACCTTGAATTCCATGAATTTGTGATACGGCCGAGGAGCCCATGCATAAATACCGACCGAATCTCGCAGGGCGACGAGAAGAAACTTGATGTTCTCGTACCTCACTGCAATAGATAACAGTGTGACAGACAGGTCAAAAAAACGTTGAAGATTTCTGTTGTTACGCGTCTTCCTAACTGATCCACATGGACCCGCTACCTATTAGTACAGTGACAGTCGATGAACAGAGTAGGAGGCTAAATGCTAGTTATTCAACAAAATATTGAATGGCGAATTCTAGCGTTCAGGGGAGCACAACAAAGCAGTGGTGGGGTGAATCAGTTACCAAGACAGAAACTGGTAAACAATGGTGGTTATGGGGGTAGTGATGGACGATACGAACAGGCAGTAAGGAGCAACGCTAGCGAATGTATGGATACATGCACCGATTTCGGGCGTCATCTGATTAGCGAGCTGGGTCTAACGCAAGGTGGGATTTAACCGCGCCCCCAAGAAGACAAGCAATGGAGAAACCCTATGCCTCAACAGGCGCCACATGTAACCGTAGAAAGTAAATGGGAAGAAAGGCATCAGCAATACGCCAGTACGCAGTACCGAAGCTTCGCTGCCGTACAACCACCACCAGTCGCACGTGAGCTAGGGATACTGCGAGAGTCGCCCTGCTTCCACGCAGGCTCGAACCCGCGCCGTCAGATTAAAAGACAAGCTTGTTACCTTTAGGTTATGGGTTCACATATGTAGCCGTACAAGACTTCGGTACAGTTTCTGTGTGGACAAAGGAGACGGTTGCGAGATAACTACCAAATGCGGAAAGAGATAATAAGAGCGATCGCCCACATAGTGGGACAAACCGCCCAACAGGACTTCGTGGGATCAAGATGTGGAACGAGCACATCCCAGTGGAATGTGAACAAGTGAAGCGCCCGATTCACAGAGTAACCACGCCGATTTACATGAGCAAACAGATTAATTAAACACAATCCAGACTGGGATCTTGCCGGAGGGAAAGTCAAAATGTTGAAACTACACGTACTCAGGGGAGTTTATCATTCATTACTCCGAATTGTAACCATGCGCTATGAGCAAGTAACACACTTAGCAACAAAACGGGAGGTGAAAAGAAGTCCTCATCAAGAAGTGTCATATAGCTATGTGAAACAGATTCCTGGTAGCAGTTGCTTGTTTTCAGGTGCGGGACAAAGTCAGCAGGAGAATTGTAACGTGATGAGCGGAGTACTGTGTGAGTGAATCCAGCGAAATAGCCTAGGAAGACAAAAAAGGACCTGCTTCATTTACCATTGCACATATCTTCAATTCAAGAAAAAAAGACAACGCGATCCTGATCGCAAGATAGCGACTAAACCGGTTGCCCAAGAGACACAGACACAGTCCGCATGGGCGTAAAATGCGCCATAATGATCCCGACGTACCGATTTTAAAATGAACGGCGCCTTGGAGATTTTCACCGACATTTACCCATCCGTTTTTCTTGTCGCACTGTATAAGATAAAAGAGAGTAGGATAAAAATGAATAATACTTTAGAAGGACGTCTTTAAAGAAGGTTGCAAACTGGTTGCGCTGATAGAAGTGCTGGCAGTGGGCGACACGGCGCAGTTTATGTGGGTGTTAGTTAGAAAGCAGTGAGACAAGCAGACGTGAGGTTCGCTCAGGTGATAAAAGAGGACGTATGTGCTGGATTGCACCGATCGATACTAGCACATACAGACGTGAAAGCCTGCAGAGACGACACACCTGTAGTAGTGTGTCACAGCAAACCAGTAAAAAAATGAGAACGACCGTTGGAGTAGAGATGTGGGAAATCGAACTTCCAAATGGACGTAGGGGTTGATTGGGCACAAGGAACGCAGGGCAGCGAAACAGCGAATTAGGATGAAGAGTATCTCCTAGAGAGAACAATACGGAGCTTCCAGTGTGCAGGTTTTACCCACTATACACTGGGTATGCGAGCTGTGGTGTACACGTTGCAGTCAAATTAGATGCCATAGTGAATGGTCTTGGTAACTACGACACTGGTGTGTATACACAACTCATTCTTGTCTGAATAAGTCATGCACAACCAGTTGTTAAGCCATATTCAATGTGAGTGCGTGGGATTTGGACGCATGGTTCATCATGCCTAAAGCAAAATAGGACAAAAAAATCGTGAAGCTGCAAACAGAGATCAGCGAAATTATTTTGGGTAGTGACAATATTCGTGAAAACCAGTACATAAGAGTGAAGCTTGAAAAACGAACCGAACAACTGGTGTTTATCAATTAGGAAACAGAAATAATACTTCAGGTGACAGTGTGTGCATGTAAAGGCCATGCACTAGGAAGATGTGAACAGCTCCTCCAAGTCCCAGTGCTTGAAATCCCAGAAACCAGTTTACCACAATAGCGGACGCCAATAGGGAAGACGTAGAAACGCAAGTTTGGGGTCAAGACCTGTGGAGCATAATGAAAATGCTTGAAACTATTTAGTGCTGATATATAGATGATTAGGCAATCGCTGGATGAGGATTTTGGGCGGTTCTCCGAGCTGACTGATTATTGTGCAGACGTTTCGCTGCCTGACTAGGCAACATCATCAGTGCGGTTTCAGGGGCCTGGTTCGCAGTGCCTCGTAAGCGACTTCAATGTCCAAGTGCTTATTGATCGAGTTCTGCTTTGAATGCCAGGCTTCCATGAACTCAGGTGCTTGCCGGCTTTTAGCCCTTCCGAGGATACTGGCATGCTCTATGTCGAATTGATGATTCTCAGCATCCATGTGCACTGACATCAGGGAGTTCTGATCGTGGCGACGTATGGCTAGGCTGTGTTCGTGTAGCCTTGTGCCAGTCCGTCCCACGTAGTACTTGTCGCAGTTCCGACAGCAGATCTTATAAATCACACCAGTTTCTTCTTCTTTTATAAGTTTATATTTCACCTTGAAGAGTTTGCTGCGAATGGTTTCAGTTGGCTGGTGTGTGAGTTCATTGAAGCCTGGCATTCAAAGCAGAACTCGATCAATAAGCACTTGGACATTGAAGTCGCTTACGAGGCACTGCGAACCAGGCCCCTGAAACCGCACTGATGATGTTGCCTAGTCAGGCAGCGAAACGTCTGCACAATAATCAGTCAGCTCGGAGAACCGCCCAAAATCCGCATCCACACCCCGAGCTACGCATATTCTCATTTATTTCAAATCGCTGGATGAGTCCACTTCTTTCCTTTACTATACTGCAACTAGCTTTTGTGACAGGATGCGCCGGTTTCATGAATGTCGCGGATTGCAGCTGCCAGAGAGCGGCGCTCGGCAGCAAACCGCACGCAGATATTGATCCAGTGATTTTTCCAGTGGCGAGCACCATACACAACCTGGAGTCCCAGATGATCGACATACGATTTCACTACAGCAAACCACGTTTCTAATTGTCCAGCACGGCGACAACAACACTGGCAAGACAAAGGCGAAACCACGGTTTTAACGAAGTTACTGTCTGGTCTCCGGAGGACGTGACCGAACCACTGAAGTCTGCGCCGCTGGATGACCACTGAGAGCTTTGGAAGACCGTAACAGCGCTTACGAACTTCAATATTAATGTGCTCATGTCACTGCGTTTTCAAGATAAGCCTTAGACCCCATTGGTTGAAGACTTCTTGTTTCCGGTGTCTTCGGATCGCATCACCCATGTTTCGCAACCATAGAGTAAAATGGCACGAATGGTTATTGAGAATACTCGGATTTTTCGTTCTCAGACTAATTTCCGTCCTTCGCCAAAACGTGTTGTTCAGTTGTCAGAATGCTGTTCTGGCGCTGTCAATACGATTCCAGATTTCGAATGTAGCCTTACCAATGGGGAGAACAGTGGATCGAAGGTACTTCAGGAACAGAATCGATGAGTTGTCCATGTAAGGAGAGCGACGGGGCGGACTGGGTGGCTGACGATGAGAAGTCCTTCGTCTTGCTGATGTTAATTTCGAGGTCGACCACAGAGGCTGATTGGTCGACCAGATTTAGGAGTGACTACAATGAGATAGTATCTTATGCAAGAGTAGTGATATCGTGAGAAAATTCGAGGTCTGACAACCAGAAGTCAGGGCTAACTTGAACACCACGATAGCCCTCAAGGGCATGATGTATCACCCAGCCGACTACGAAGTAGAATAGCACTACAGAAAGTGGGCAACCCTGCCGGACTCCAGTATTGATGTCAAATTCCTTTATTTCTTCTTTATAGACCCAAATGTTGGTCTTCGATCTCCTCAACTGAACGAGTTTAACCGGTACGCCATGGGCAAGTTAGATTCTCCAGTGCTTCACGGTCAACCGATTCAAAGGCAGCACGAAAATCAACGAAGCTGCTGGAACTGGTAGCGATGTTCGAGTACCCGACGTAGTGAAGATTTGGCCAGTGCAGCCTCTGTTTGGACGAAAGTCACCTTGGTTATGGCGAGTTCGCAGGTTCCTCTCATTGGCAAAGCGGAAAAGCAGGATTCGTGTGAACGTTTTGGCCGCCACATCGATTAGGCTAATCCCGCGATAATTACTGCACACAGGTCGGTCACCTTTCCTGGGAAATGGTAGTAATACTGAGGTACTCCACGAAGAAGGACAGATTTCGGTCTCCCATATCGAGCAGAAGAGCGCGCGCAAATGGTCAAGCAGGGCTAGTATACAAGACTTGTAGATTTTAGCTGGAATCCCGTCCGCTACAGGAGCTTCCTTCACCTTCAGGCGACGAACGATGTCTGCAATCTCTGTAGGAGATAGCGGTGGGCAATCCGCATCAAATCCTGACTGGGTTAATGCTGAAATGGGTGCGGTGGTGTGTAGTGGGCGGCTTAGGTTTCTAAAATACTTTACCTATCTGAAAAGTTTTCCTTCCTTATCAGGGATGATTTGCCCTTCCGAATTTCGCAATATCCACTGTGGTGAATAGCGTTTGCCGGAAGCTAAACGGATGAGACGAAAAAGATGACCCAGATTGCCAGAATTTGATGCAGCTTCCATGTTGCCTGCGATAACAGACCAGTAGCGGTTGTGATCATTCCCGTGCTGAGTGGGTTGCCTCACGTCCCAAGCAACAATAGTCTGAGGAATTTGTGAGACGTGCTTCTCTCGCTTTAGCGGACAAGCGGATAGTATCTCCAGTGATCCAGTCCTTCACATACTTAGAAGTAGAGCCCAGGGTTAATAAAGCGGCGCGTTAAACTAACGATTTTAGCTTAGACCAACGAGCGCTGACAGATTCATCTTCTGCAAGCACGAGGTGTGGTGCACTAGCAGAAATTGATGCCTCTAATGCTGTCTGTAGGGATCAGCAGCAGTCAGTATTTTCCAATGGAACAGTGTTGATACGCTTTGGTGAAGGGGTCATCCGACGCGTTGTCGAGCGGAGTCTGAATTTGGCACGCAGGAATACCTGGGCCGAACCACCTTTATTACCTTAATTACCCTCTGTACGCACAACAGTCATCCATGGAGGACATCCGTCGGGATCGGATTAAGATGTAATCTATCTGGCTAGCTTTAAGGCTATCATTGGAGAATCACGTCAGGAAATGCTTCCTGGGATGCTGGAAGCGAGTATTGGTTATGCACAACCGGTTAAGGTCAGGGAAGCTGAGCAAGCGCGGTCTCCATTATCACAGCGCTCTCCGAGTATGTGACAGGTCTGATCGTTCCTCGGCCCGGTTCGTGCATTCCAGTCCCCAGCAATAATGAGGACATCGCGTTTTGGAACATGGTTCACCACCGTCTGTAGAGTATCGTAAAATACGTCTTTGTCTGTTTCCGCTGAGAGTAGGGTTGATGCGTAGACAGAGACTATGGTCACATTCATCGGGTGACCTTTGAATCGAGCAACTGCTATTCTAGCTGGCACTGGCTTCCACGAAAGGGGGGCGTTGTGTGCCTGGCAACTGAGAGCTATGGCGACCCCATGATTGCCAGAATTACCTTCCGGTCCACTGTGGTAAAGCCAAGATAAGGTGTCTACACCAGGGACTTTGATTTGTCGAGAGCCATAGCCGGGTATTCGAGATTCTGTCAGGCATGCTATATCGATCTGGTAGTCATGTAGTGTGCGCATGGTCAACGCTTGGCTGCCGACATCCAACCGGGTTCTGACATTCCAGCATCCAATGAATAGTGACTTCCGGGGATTGAGGACCCCAGCTTGCTAATTTGTCATTCTGGCCACTGGGTCAGCGCAGAGCGCGTCGCCTACCGGGAACGCCATTGTATGAGCAGAATCGCGGGTAACGGACATGTCATGAAGTTTCGTGGGGATTGTGTGTAGGTATGTTAAGTATGAAGTGAGTTAACGGCCAACATGACATGAAACTAGCAACGTGGTACATAAAAGAAATGCAGCTCAGTTCTGTATCTAATGGTCGCTGGAAGAGAATTCCATAATGTTTACAAACGGAAAGCTCTACGACGCAGTCACTAGCGGCAGAGCGACATCAGGATGATGCACAAAAGTGAATTCGTGAACATGTCTCTGGTT